AGCATTAATGTGATTTATTAGTAACTTTACTTTCAAACTGGCAACCTTGCACATTCCCCACCATGTGAAGCAGAGAAAAACATAAAAGGCACAATATGTGCAAGATTGTGGAGCAGCTAGTGTCCTACAAGATCTTATTCATTCCACCACTGTGAAGAGTTCCTCATGCATTCATTGCATATTTTCATTGCTTGCCCTTAAAATTCAAGTTTTGTGTTGCATTTGTGTCCCCAAAGCATAGTATAAGTCCTTTGAGCTCTAAGCACAAACATGCAAAGTCAGCTGTGAGACACACAGAATGGAATGTCTGTAGCCAGCCACGAGTTTGGTGTCAACAAATCAACAATTCATTATATCCGCAAAAAGGAGGAAAGTATTTATGGAACTATAGATTGCATGTGTTATGAAAAGTATATTTTCTGAAATCAATTTTTTTGTTTTTGTTTTTCTTTTTTTTTTAATTGAGATGTGAGCACAAAAGGTCAGAGAATTCTTGGACATGTTTTGCATGTTACCAACTTTATTTCATGTACTGAATTTTATGGGTTATTTCATAGTTACTGTGTAAAGAAAAGTACATATCAGAATTAGCTTTGCTATAAAGAATTATTAGTAGAAAAGTGTATTTTTAGCAATCTCTAGCAAAAGATTTCATTATTTGGTGGTTGCAGGTACCTAATTCCCTATCTATCATAGATTCAATGTTTTAACATTTCTTTTTTAGACTTTTGCCCTTTTGAGGAATCAAAGTTGAAGACTGACTGTATTATCTTGTTTTATCTACACAACAACTTTGGAAGTTAGGTGCTATTATCACCCCTATTTTACTGATGAGGAAATTGAAGCAGACAGAGGTTAAGTGACTTGTCCAGGGTCACCCAGGTAGTTAGTGAGGCCAGATTTGAACTCAGTTTTTCCTTACTCCATGTCCATCCACTGAGTCACACAAGAAAATCAAAAGGGGCAACTACGTGGCACAGAGGATAGAGTTCCTGCCTTGGAGTCAGGAGGACCTGAGTTCAAATCTGTCCTCAGACACTTGACACATACTAGCTGTGTGATCCTGGGCAAGTCACTTAACCCTGACTGCCTCACAAAAAAAAAAAAATTCAAAAAAAATAGAGCACTTACATCCAAGAGTAAGCTAGAGCCAACTCAAACAGGCTGCCCAGTAGACTGTCATACTTTCAGTGTCAACATTTACACCTCAAAAATCAGCAAATGCTATGAATCTGGGCTTCACTTATAGTACTTAAAAAAATTATTTAGACTTAAGAAAGTGAAGAAAATTAGGTATTGCATGTACATGCCATCCCACTCCCAGTCAGTTGTTAAACATTTACCAGCATTCCCTTGATTACATCAATATACTAACTGAACAACTAATTCTGTTGTTTCAGAGAGTTAAAATGTAAAGTTATCAAACTTTTTCATTCAACAACCCAAGGATACTCCCATGAACTTTTTCAGTCAGACACACACATAAATCTTCCATTTCTTTTTGCATCCATCACAATTATTTATAATTCTGCTGTTCTAGTCTCCCTTCTGGCATTGAAGCAAATTTTTAAGACTGTCAAGGACAGAGTATCAAAGAAGGGAGATTCATGATACAGTGATGCACATGGCCAATTCATCCACTTCATATATCTTTGAGTTCAGCGTTGTTGTCATAAAATCACTTTTATCTATCATCCCAATTCCATCCCATCCAGAAAGTCTCAGAACCCTAAGTGTTCTTTACTCTACTTTGAGAACTACTAGAGAATGCTGTAATGTTAAAGAGAATTATTTCACTCAGTACATGTTTAGTGCAATGGATTAAGTTTAATTATTTCTTAAGGCAAGAAATACAAGTCTACCTTTGATATTTTATCAGGAGTTAAGCTGGTGCCTTAAAATTTCTGATAATTGTATTTCAATATAACTGGTTTCCTTTGTATTCCTATGCATTTTATCTTATGCTTTTAAAATTATTGTTCTTAGAAGGGTTCCATGAAATTCAGACAACCAAAAAGGACCCCTTCTCTATACCAACATCTCTCTCCACCTATACAACCAGCTGGCAAGAAATTTTGATTCAGTATTTCTACTTCTCTCAAGTTAAGTTCACTTGAAGTCTTTCTACTCTTTCCACTCTGCAAGACCATACATGTACAATGAATAATTTTAAAATTAATTCTCTAAATGCATATTAACTATTTTACAGATTATTCATAGATAATTCAGCCTGCTTAGCAAAATGGGAACTTGTTTAATTAACTGTTAGCTTAAGAAAAATAATTATAAAAGTAAACCTCTATTTTGGACTACTATTTTGGTGGTGGGGTTTTTTTTGGGGGGGTGAGGCAATTTAAGTGACTTGCCTAGGGTCACACAGCTTTTGAACTCAAGTCCTCCTGACTCTTGGGCCAGTGCTCTATCAACTGCATCACCTAGCTGCCCCTGGACTACTATTTTGGATTATATATTCCATTGCTCCCTTACTCAAGCCAATTAGCACTGAGAAATTTAAGTTGACTATACTAAAACTTGTTTGCTCAACAGTGAAATTCAGCAAAGGCAGACCACCTTTTACTCCAGGGGTAAAGCCTATAGAGGTAGTCTCTGGCACAGTAGATACCACACCTGAGTTCAAATGTAAACACACATATACTAGCTATGTGACTCTGGGTATGTCACTTAACCTCTGCTTCAGTTTTCCTCAATTGGAAAATAAGAATAATAGCACCTATCTCACAGAGTTGTTGTGAGGATCAAATGACGTACGCTGTAAAAGCATTTAGCAGAGAGTAGATGCTATATAAATACTTACTTCTCCTCTCCCCTTTTCTAAAATTTTAAAATACATAGAATTACAAAAGAAACTAATTATAATGAAACAACAACCAAAATATTTTAAAGTTCAAGGACCTCAGGTTAAGAATCTTTATGTTTTAGGTCATCTAAAAAAGGCTCAGAGGCATAAATCCTATATACTGCTTAAAAAAAGAGCTTTAGCATTTTATAAAAATAGCAAGTCAGTCTGTAATAAAACTTTCTGATACAATGAAGCATGTAAAAGCCCTGATGTGTTGCCATTTTACAATGTGGAATAGATCCTTTTTTTCTGTTTTTCTTGTTCATATTCACTTTGTTTTCACTAACCAGTCAATGTTGTTATGGAACACAACAAAAAACAAAATAAAAAATAATGTTAAGTACTGCAAAAATGGGGAGCCCCTTACCTTTTAGAAGATTAGGTCCTACATTAAATTAAAAGATTATAGTATCAAGGATAAATATAAATAACATGTAAAATGAAATGTTACTCCTTTATAATGTGGATAGGAGAAAAATGTAAAAACAAACAAAAACAAAACACCCTACAGAATCAGGTTTTTAACACTAAACAATGGTTCTAAATGTATCCAATAGTTTTCTTAGAAGTCAAGGTAGTCAAGTAAGATCATTTGTAACATAAATCTCCTCAGGAACTATAAATTACAGCATTTACAAACCAGGGTTCCTTCCTGGTTACATGATTTCTAGATGGTTAACAATGGTGATGATAGCACTAAAGACATATTAGGTCAACTTCAGAGAAACACAAGATGTATTTTTCAAGTAAGTCACTATATAGAACTTTTGCTTACATTGCCAATCAACAGTGGGGCCATCCTTCTAGGCAAAACAACAACCATTCACAAGCTACTTATTCTAAAAAGTCAACAAATAAACAGCTTATATTTCCAAGATGTCAACCTTATCTTTTCTCCCTCTTCAACATCCCAACTCAGAATGACACAATCAAATGTTAGTAAATATGAAGTCCATTAATTTAATAGTCCAAGTATACCATTATTTTTCATTCCTATTTGTTATATAAGGGCAAAAAGCAAAGCAAGGAGAAAAAAAACCTTTACTAAAAATACTTTCAAAATAGGATTTTTTAAAATCTCAGACTTTCAGTATGGAAAACAGGAGCCAGAAGTAGACTCTTTGGGGACTGTATGGGAATGTAAACTTTAAGTTATTATGTATATGTCAGTGAAAGCATACCTCTTAAATTTTCTCTTAGGTAAGTACTTTAGGAGTAGCAACGTTTTGATTTAATCTAAAGACTCAAATCTACACTGAAATATAGCGGCTGCAGACTGAAAAGGGGCAAAGAGTTTTCTGTCACTGCCGCTACACTATTTCACTATCATGACTGCAACATAAAGGAAGAAGTGGGGTTGTAATTTTAACAATGCTTAAAAAACGACTTTCCTTTGGGTAGTTAGTATTGAGAAAGGTGAAACGTGGGGGATAGTAAAGGATGGGGGGCGCGTCATTTTCCCACAAGAAGGAGGGAAAAATCAAAACAAAACACAGAGTAGCCGTGGTTCAGGGCCTGAGCAAAAGACAGAAGTAGCCCCAGCTGGGTGTCAGGGAGGGGATGACAGGAGACCCTGGCTGCGGGGGAGGGGAAGAGATGACAGGAGAGGGGGCAGTAGAGAGTTGACATGTCACCCACCCCGAAACAGTGGAGAACAAGGTGGGAAAGAGGGGGTAAAGCAGAAACATTACTTAAGGAGGTTTTGGGGGTGTGTGTGAGACAAGGAGGAGGCAGGGGAGAGGACTGGATGTTTAACACCGGAAAAGAGATGGTCTCAAGCAGGCACTGACTTAAACCTCATGAACTGGGCAGAGAAGAATAAGGATGGGGGGAGGAAGATGAAGGCTTAGTATGTGGAAGTCGGGGGGATGACCACTGGGCCAGGGGGCAACACCCCCCCACTTCCCTCTGACCTCTCATCCCCTCTGCACCCTAGTACCGGGGTCAACGCGGCCCCGCCCCCTCCCGGGTGCCCGCAGCCTCCGTTCCCCACCCCCTCCCCCAGGAGCGTGCGCCGTAAGCACCCCTCCGGACCAGGGGAGGACGAAGGAGGAGAAAATGTGGGGCTGGAGAGGGAGGTCAAAGGGGAAGCGTGCCCCCACCCCCAGCAGCCGGGAGGGCGGCCACTGCTGTTTCTCACCTGACAGAAGCGGCGGCAGTAATCCCGGCTGCTGATCCTGCTGCTGCTGCTTCCAACGCCGCAGCCGCCTCCTCCATCGCCACCAGCCCCGGCTCCGAATGCGACGGAACCCGGAGGGGAGTCCACGATAGCCTCGAGTTCTTCCCCAAGGCGCTCGGCCTCCTGGTCGCTCTCTTCCTCCGCCATGAGGCTCTCGCAGCCCAGCGCGTACCAGCCCCAGCGAAGCCGTCGCTGCCGCTGCTAACCTACTCCTCCTCCTCTAATTCCCTCCCCTCTTTCCCCCCCAGCCGGACAAGCGCCGCTCTGCCGGGGCCCTACTTCCGGCTCCGCCCACCCCCGCCCCCAATCTGCATTGGCCATCTCTCGCCGCCAGTCACCCTGGCTCCCGCCCTCTAGCTGCCATTGGCCGGAGTGGCCGTCCGTCTGACCCGCCAACCAGCCGTTGGACAGCGCTTCACGGCGGTTGCTGGGGGCCGCCTACCGTGCTTCGCAATAGGCCGCGGAGGAGGACGGGGCGCGGCGGGGGACACGGCGGCCGCCGCGGGGCTTGATCGGGCGACGGTGGCAGCGGCAACTGGTCCTCCTCCTTCTCCCTTTCCCACCTCCTTCGCCTCCTCCCCCTTCCTGGTTGCTTCTCGTCCTCCTCCCCTAGTGGCGGCCCTGATCCTACGGTACCGAGCAGCGGGGAAGCTGTGGGCGGGCCGGGCCGTTGGTGCGGGCTGTGGGCCCGGGGCCTTCTGTCCCGGAATCAGGCGGGGAGTGGGGGTGGGGGGGGTGGGAGCCGTTGACTGTGGGAGGAAGAAGGAAGACGGCAAACCTGTCAGCGGCCGCCGCCGCAGCCTCGCTGCTGACCCCCCCTCCCCACCCGGAACTGTCGGCTTCTCGGTGGTGGGGTGTCTGGGCTCGAGGGGCCGGGGGCGGGGGGGGGAGGGCCGGGAGGAAGCTTCCCACCCCCACCCCCGTCTTCCCCGCTTTCTCTCCCCCCCCCACAGCGGAGCGGGGAAGTAGAGGCGCCGGCGGGCGCGCTCGTCCGGTTTAGGGTGGGAATCCCGATTCCCAAGGGGATGCTCAACTCCTCCTTTCCGGAACACTCGGGCTTGGGAACTGAGTAAGGGAGGGGCGAGAAGAGGAGGGGAGGTCCGAGAGGGTATCCAGAGCAGGGATTGGGTGTGCTTAGGAGAAGGGTGGGGGGCGCGTTGTAGGGGTCCGGGCTGGGGGCTGGTGCCTAGGGGGACCCGTTTTTGAGCCACCTGTTTGGTGGTTGTTGTTGACACTCTTTTGCACCTCTTTTTCACTCCCACTTCCTCTTTCCCTTCTCCCCTCCTCCCCTTCCATTTTTCTTTTACTCTAGTAAGGGAATGACTACCAGGTACGCCAGCGAAAATAGGGTGCAAGCCCAGAAACCATTTCTCTACCACCACTTGTTGAGAAACTGATTTGAAAGCAACTCTGTGTTTGGAACAGGCAGAGGGTGCCCGGATTTGACATCTCTGTTTTCTCAGATTGGGAACCCTTCACTGCTAAGTGTCAAGGCAACAAAACTGGAAACTAACTTGGTAAACATTTAAACTTGAAAATAGCATTTCCCAGTTGACTTTATTTTGCATTTAGTAATGTTTAGAACTTTGCATTTTCAAATTCCTCATATGCGCCAGTTCTTAATCTTGCTTTAATTAAAAAAAAAATTTCTGCTGAAATAATAACTAGCATTTATTTAATGCTTTAAGGTTTGCAAAGTGCTTTATAAATATTAACTTTTTTTATCCTCACAACAATCCTGGAAAAAATTTGTTCATCACTTTTATAAATTCCAACTAGGTAGGTGGTTGAATACGTAGTATCAAGCCAAGTCAATTGTACACTTGTAAGGACTTAAGATTGTCATAAAAGAAGAAATTTTCACACGTAGATCTGAAGTTGAATAGATCACTTAAGATCATTTAAGGGTCCAAGTCAGGGATTCTTAACTTTGTGTGTGTGTTGTGGATACATTTGGCAGTCTGGTGAATCTTGTGGACCCTGTCTCAGAATAATATTTTAAGTGCATAAAATAATGTAAAATTCCAGAGGAAACCAATTATACTGAAATGCTGTTGTCAAAATATTTTAAAAAGATAAGTTTATAGATCTCAGGTTAAGAATCTCTGCTTTAAGTGAAGGATATTTTGAGACTTCATGGATTTACTTTTAATCATAACCTTTTAGATAGAAATAGAAAAATGGTGGACAGAGTGTTTGGCTTGGAGTCACTAAGACCTCTGAGGAAGTCACTTAACTTCTATGTGCTTGAGACAACTATATATAGAACAAATCCCAGAGATGTTTCCATGTTCAGGAGCATGGAGTTTTCAAATCAGCAATCCCACATACTGACCAACTCAGGGATCCTTTGTAGATGTGTAACTTTTCAGATAGAAAATAATGTGATACCCAGCGATGGTTTTTACTGTACAGTTGGGTCCAGTAACCTGCTGAAACCAACCCAGAGGCAACATAGTGTAGTGGAAAGAGCTCCTAGATGGGAGAGAAGTAAATTCAGTATAGCCATTAACTCTTAGCGGTTATCTGACTGTAGCCAGATTACTTTACATATTAGAGACTCAGTTTTCTCATGTGTTCAGTAGGCATAATACTACCATATCATTGTCATTATATAGGATTTTGCCATATAATATGTATGTAAAGCACTATGCAAACCTAAAAATACTATATAAATGCCAGTTATTATTATTACTAAACTGGTACATAGACAACTACAAATTATTGATAATTTTGATGATAAACAATCATCTGTTTTATTATTATTCTCAAGTTTTCAAACCTTAACTTTTTAACTCAACTTTGGATGTTTAAAATTTGCCTTCAGTTTGTCTTTTATACCACTCATAGTCGTTTTTAGACTGCTTAACACCTTTGTAAAACCTTCAGTCACATTTCTAGCTGTGTAACTAGTCTACATTTGACATTACTTCTATAATCCTGCTTAAAATAGTATAATCAGCTTTAACATATATCATGACAGAGGACAAAGCTGTAATTTTTTTTTCTTGTTTGCAAAATAGGATTGGCAACAATTTGAGTTTTGCTATAGAATTTGATAAATATTTATTGGCTTGATCTCTTGTTCTAGTACCCTGTAATCTGTTTTACTTAACTTTTTAAAAAATCAAGAAATTTACTGATGTGGTAGTAACTTGCCTCTAATTTTCCATATTGTGATTTTCTCTAGTCTGTTTTATCAGATTTCTTTAGGTAAGCATATAGTTTTAGGGATTTTCCTCCCATCTTTTGTTGTTAATTGTGGATAGAATATCCTGTTCTCATCCATTTGTTTCTCTTATTTTGAAAGACCCTTATTGAAAACCAGAATGGAGCGATTTGTAGTAACATCTCCTCCTGCTCGAAACCGTTCCAAGACTGCTTTGTATGTGACTCCTTTGGATCGTGTCACTGAGTTTGGAGGTGAATTACATGAAGATGGAGGAAAACTGTTCTGCACTTCTTGCAACGTGGTACTTAATCATGTTCGCAAGTCTGCCATCAGTGATCACCTCAAGTCCAAGACTCATACCAAAAGAAAGGCTGAGTTTGAAGAACAGAATGTAAGGAAGAAACAAAGGCCTCTTACAGCATCTCTTCAGTGCAACAGTACTGCGCAGACAGAGAAAATCAGTGTTATCCAGGACTTTGTGAAAATGTGCCTGGAAGCCAACATCCCACTTGAGAAAGCTGATCACCCAGCAGTTCGTGCTTTCCTGTCTCGCCATGTGAAGAATGGTGGCTCCATACCTAAGTCAGACCAACTAAGGAGAGCTTACCTCCCTGATGGGTATGAGAATGAGAATCAGCTCCTTAACTCACAAGATTGTTGACAAGGGAGGTTATCATCATTGTGAACAAGACAAATGACGTGGAGTATTAAAGTTATGTGTTGATTGTGTGGTTCATTTTTATATTTATTTCATTAAAATCATGTGATACAGAATAGTTTTGCAATGTGTATATAGCTGCGGAAGTGACAACCTCACTGCAGAGCTTACTGATAATTTAGCCACTGGTGGTGTAAGACAGAACTTCAGTTTAGAGTATGCTAGAATATCTAAAGCCTGATGGTTTTCTTTCAAACTTATGGTTTTCCCCTAAAAGGTTTATGTGTCAAAAGTCCTGCCCTGCTTTTTACCATGTATGACTGTTCCATAAGAAGTTCCTTAAATATTTTCAATGAAAAATAGCATAAGAAACTGAAGCTGCTGCCAAGGAATACTGCTGATGGTTAATTTTTTTTGTTTGTTTTTTTGTTATTGGAGGGTTTTTTGGTCTAATTAGAGTGCCATCTAATACAATAAAATGTGCTTCTGCTGTATTCTTAGTTCAGAACAGGTGAAGGCTCTTATTGTCCCATTTCAAGCTATACTTTAGTATAACTTGGTTGTCTTAAGTGTCCCCTTATCCCACCTTTTTCCATTTCTTCCTCAGCTTCAAATCAACAAATTACTTAATTCTACTTTTTTTTCATGAGTGCCAGAAATCATAGTAAGACATTAGGTAACAGTGATTTTGCTCTTTTAAAATGAACAGAATTTCACAGGCAAAATGTACCCACGAACTCTTGGTTTGGATTTTGAAATACATTTTAAATTTCAAGCCTCCCTTTCTTCTTGTACATGCATTCATTGGGTTCCAAAACCCTTTTTGCATATAAATTCACTCAATGATAAATGGAAATTTGGGTTTGATGTCTTAACTATGAATAAGTTAAATTAAGCAGGAAGTCTAATTGTACTAAGTTGGAGTATCCTGTTGCATGGAGTAATCCTCTGTGCCTATGCTGTCAGTTAATGCAGATGGAAATTGTTATCCATTTAGTTTTGCAAATATGATTTTAACTTATACATGCCTCATGAGGTAGATAGACTAGGAACTAGAAAGCTTGTATTTTTTTACTTTCTTGAAAAAGTTTTATTTCTGGTGCTTCACTGGTTTTAGGAATACTATAAAATAGGAGCTAATTAGAAATTCTGGCAAGATATTTGGGGGTAGGCTTCTGGCAGCATCATGCATAAGTATTTTGGGGAAAATGATTGTCATTTCTGCCGAAGGGTCTACCTTGTTCAGGAAATGAGCTCTTTCTGACTCTCATTATCTCAGTAAGGCAAATAGCACAGCTTTTATAGATTTCAAGTCCAGACCACAGGAGAACCAAATTACATGCTTTTCAAAGTTAATCACTTGCTAAGTTGGGCTAGTGCATTTTTGATATATATCATTTGTTGCTTGAACATA